GCGTCGGCGAGGAGCTCGTGCAGGGCAGGCGGATCGCCAGCAGCACCGAGCTCTGCAGCAGCTCCACATTTCACGACATACACCATTGGAGGTGTACTGTAGCATGGAGACCGCCGTGCCCAAGAGACAAGCATCTGAAGCGGTGGCTGTACCACTCCAAGGCTGTCGGATGTCGCTAGAACAAACCAACAACGTGGCTGCTGCCCATCTAAACTCGGCTGCTGACTTCCACAATCGTGCTGGACGTTTGTAAGGTTAATGCGGTCCTCCGCCGCCGCCGCCACCGCTACCAGTTGTGCAGGATCAACCGGGTGCATCCACAAAACTACTCGCCCTTGTCCGTCAATTACCTGTTCGGTTGGTCAGATGTCTACTCGTGTCGACTTTGCCAACACACATGATTTTGATCCTTTCGGCATGCAGATCTTGCAGCAAGCACCTTTGGCATTGATGTGTATGGCTAGCGTTCCTCTTCTTTTGGTGTACTAGGTGTACTTTCATTCGAGCTACCAATACGACATTGCTGCCGTGTCGCCAGCGATGAATTGCAGCTTGATGCAAGTATGCTTCGAAATTCCGTGGAAGCAAATCCCAACAATCTTCGCTGTCCTTGAGTTTCAGCATTTGCTTACCTATGATAGCGAGGGGCCGCTTGAGACTGGCTTCAGATTCTCGGAAACACAGAGATCAGATATCCAGCTACGGGTAAGCCGACGACATCTAACGTCTACGCACTGAATACTATAATGCTGCGATTTCGCATGCTTGCAACGAGATCAGCAAACAGAATGAGATCCATCTCAGAGTTGAAAGGTCGGGGCGTCATGCAGCAGCCTGGCTCAGCGCCACCCCCTGCGAGGCTGGCACGCCGAAAGGGGAGAAGAACCAGAAGATGCTAGAACCAAGCGGCATTGTGCAGACCCGCGAGGAGAGGCTGCTAGACGTCTGCGCTAGGAAACTTCGAGTCTCGCTACAGGCTACAGGAGAGCAGGGCAGCCTCGCTACTGGCGGGGAAAATGAGGGCAACTACCCCAAGCGCTGCCTGGGTTACAGACAGGTCGGTTTGTCTGGACGGCTAAGGATAAGATCGTGCAGCCACGCAGCACTCCGATGGGGCTCTTCTCATCAAGAGTGGTGATGCAAGAGGATCAGCTGGCAACTGTCACTCTGCATGTCCACCTCTCACTCCAGGCCATCCTCGTCGAGAACATGTCTTTTCCTCTGAGTGATGTTGGAAGTGGTGCCGAGATTCGTGAAGCCATGCAAGGGCAGCTCAAGGAAGCGTACGTTGATCCCATCATTGCCGCGGGAAATCGGATCACTCGGCCGCCCATTGTCAGCATCAATCACGACTTGCGGTTCGTTGGAGCAGGAAGTCACTACTTGGCCGAGAAATCCAAAGTGTACACCGGTTTTCATGCTTTGGGATCTTACATTGAATTGGAGCTAAGGGCTCGTGGATGTGTGGTGATTCTCGGGTCTTCTTTCTGGTGAAAGCCGTACGGCCAATTGAAGCAATCCCTCACCGGCGTTCACACGATCTCAACCGAGAGGATTGCCAATCCTGAGTCTCGCCTTCGACATAAGTTGGCTTATGCTATCTACGAGAAGCAGTTGTTCAGCGAGAAGATGGTGTCGGCGTGTTTCGTGGAGAGCGCAAAGATACGTCAATGGGATGATCCCAAAAAATCACCCCAGCAAGGAAAAAAAAGGCATGAATTAGACCGCCCAAATTTTTGGCACCGGTCGGAATTAGCCCCGGAGAAAACGCATTAAAGGAGCCCATATTCCTAAAGGGACCTCCACATTAAACTGCGCGAGGTCGCCCCGGCCCTGGGTGCCGTTCGTTCGCCTGTGGTACGGCCAAGAGTCCACTTATTTCTGGTGGGACGCTACCGGCACCCGGCGGAGCATCCGTCAAGGCGAAGGCTGCGAGCAAGGCGACGCGCTGGCCCCGGCCTTGTGCGCCCTCGGCCAACACGAAGCCCTCGTTGCAGCCGATGCGCGTTTGCAGTCGGGGGACGCACTCGATGTTGTCACGTCAGCGATCCAAGACCGGGCCGGCGTTGCCGCCAACCTCGGCAGGACGCGCGTTTACAACCGCGCCGGCGGCCCCGTGCCTCCGGGCATTGCCGAGCTCGGTGAAGGGGTCTGGACCGGCAACGCCCCCCGAAGTCGAGAGGGGTTTCGTGGGCACCCCCATCGGCCACCCAGCTGACGTTGCGTCGCTCACTGACGCACGCCTGCGGGAAGAGGCACGGCTGCTGCAGGAACTCCCTCTGCTGCCCGACTTACAATGTGCGTGGCTCATTCTTGCCATGTGTGCTGCCCCGCGCGCCGATCATCTGCTGCGCACCCTGCCGCCCGATGTTTCCGCCACATACGCGCGCGGACACGACGACGCAGTTTGGCAAAGCTTGCGCAACCTTCTCGGAGAGCCCGACGACCAAGACCCCGCTGTCGCCGCCTGCCCGGCACCTAGCGCTCTTGCCGGCGCACCTCGGAGGACTCGGACTCCAATGCGCGGAGCGCGTCGCTCCTGCCGCGTACTGGGCCGCGTGGGCCGACCCTCTGCCGGTATTGCGGCAGCGCCGTCCAGATCTCGCTGCGCGCTGCCTGGCCGAGCCGGAAGCCGGGCCAGCGTCCTCCGCCGCTTGCTTGAGAGCCGCCGCTGCAGCGGGTAACCCAGCTCACGCACGCCTGCTGGGAGGGTCGGCCCGCCTGGAGTGCTATCGAGGGGTCTTCATTGGTCACAACGTGAGCAGAGTGCATGGATCGTGGATCCTTTGCATGGTGAACGGTAGATTGAAGATGGCTGGAGCGCGGCTTCCCGTGTTGCTCAAGCAACCAACTGTCAGGTGGAAGGTCTCAGTGGATCCAACCAGTGATCGAAGAGTGATCGATGGAGCTATTCGCCACATTTGGCCACAGCCTCTTGGGAACGGAAACGCTCCCAGAGGACATATGTCCAGATTCAGAGCCGCTGGAGCCTGAAACCGTTGTTGTGGACAAACTGTCAGCGAACAAGCCCAGGCTAATGTAGTTGCAGCGCAACCAACCAGCACATGAGGTAGGGAAGAGCGGCAAGTACCACATCGCAACCTTTCACGAGGAGCAACACGCCATTGAGGAGGAGATGCAGGCTATCCTAAGTGGTTTGGACCAGGCCTCCGGAATCACAATGACGAATGATGTCTTTAAGACCAGCACCGAGGATGAGATTCAGAAGTGGGTGCATGCAGCCAACGGGGAGTTGAACAACATGGACAAATGGCAGGCGGGGACGCCAAGCTCATGGAATACACTGCGGCAGGACTTGGGTCTGAGGGAAACCGACGAGCTACCGGAGATCAGACCTTCAAAACTCGTGAACGTGCAAAAGCCCGTCGTCATGGAGGAAGACATTAAGAACAGAGCGGAGTCAGCGAAGAAGCATGCGGAGCTAAAGTCTTGGAAGGCTCGCGTTAGGATTTTGGGTGTGGGAATTTCGAAGACACATCGGCGCACACAAAGGAAGAGAATGCATCTTGCAACATCCGATGTGAAGGCCCACGCTTGATGTTCTCAGCTCTCGCAAACAATCCCGCATGGAGCGGACTAATGTTTGATATAAGCAACGCCTTTCTGTATGCAAAGCTTCGCGGGGAAAACGCCATCGTGGTGCGACCGGCACCAATCCTGATATCCGTAGGGTTGGTTCCAGAGGGAACTCTATGGATCTTGAAGCGAGCATTATACGGACTCAGACAGTCCCCTGTGGATTGGGAAGCACACCGGTATGAGGCGATCACAAATCTCATTCTTGAACCGTCAAAGAACGATGAGGATGGCGTCATGGTGTTTAAGCGCATTCCTGCATGCAAGGGCTTTTGTACTCCTCATCCGTTGTTATAGTTTTTTCAGCATCCCGGGCTGCAACTTACATGGATTGCATTGCATTCCTAAAGCTGGCGGAAATTATGGGCTGTGTTTCAATTGGCGCAAAGTCGAAGCCATGCCGATTCGCTGCGACTTCAATGTGTTGAAGCCTGACGGTCACCCTATTGCATGTAAATCGTCCTTGGTTTACTTGGGTAGTCTGTTGGATGTATCTGGGGACATCGGGCCAGAGCTCAATCGTCGGCTTGGTTCGGCCAGGGCCGGTTTTCAAGCTCTCAATCAAGTTTGGAAACATGCTAGCATTCCCTTGCGTCGCAAAATCTGCATTTTCGATGCGCGCATTGGCTCGCAGTTGCTGTACTGCCTGCACACAGCTTGGCTGAACAAAGCATTCCTTCGAAAACTTGATGGCTTTCAGGCTCGATGTCTACGCAAGATTCTTGGAATCCCGCACTCATTTCTCAGCCGCGTGTCCAACGTGGAGGGTCTGCAACAAGCTGTGGCCAAACCATATTCCAAAATTTTGATGCACAAACAACTGCAGCTCATTGGCAAAATTGCTGCGCTTCCTTCCTCGGACGTTATGCGAACATGTGTTTTTGAGGAGGGTTCGTATCAGCTCCGAGGTCATATGAAACCGACATGTCGACGCCGCCCCAAACAGGTGTGGACCTCCCAGGCGTATCTGTTAGCTGTACAGGTGGCAGGAGATTTTGAGGAGTTGAAGCGTTTATGGGCGTCTCCACCGAACGTGTGGCGACAACGTGTACACCCTTTTTGCTTCGGGAACTAATTTTTCCCTCCAGGCCCATGTGTCACTGTACACGAGGCTTTGACTGACTGACTGAGTTCATCGCGTCTCCGGTGGTAGTGTTCCGTCACATGGATCTGGAAGACTCGTTGTGCGGTTCATGTGCACATAGCCTTGTGCAGCCCGTGAGTGAGGGATCCAGTTACGATGTGAGACCTGTACTGTGCCAGCCATAAGCTTCTGAGTTTAACTTCCAAGGTACACCGAGGAAGATTTGATGGGGCATGTCATGTCATTAAACTTCACTGCCTCTCCCGGCATGCTTTGATGTAGTAGGACACCGCGCAGCGTGACCTTCCAGAACGATTTCATCCCAATGGGGGTTCTTCGCAAAGCTTCGGCATTTCCAATCACCCATCCATCGTCTACATATGTTGTGGCTATACCATGCAAAACTCCAGTATCCCTCTCAAGCATTTCCCAGGGACACAGCGACGTGGTATCCTTGATAGGGGGTTGGACTCCGCACTCGTCCGGACATCCCAGGATGACAGTACAGTCACGTGCTATGGTGGCTTCAGCACCTCTGAAGGGCTCAGCGAAGTGCGAAATGTTCGTGATGAATTGCAGTCTTCTTTCGGATGGAGACGCAGCTGAGGGTTGGAGTGTGAACCTCGAGTCCCCGTTTTTTGCCTCCTGCATGGCTGAGTACACGAAGCAGGGCAATGGGTCACATATCGGCAATTTCTGCCTGAGTCTTTCAGGTTTCAGTGAAGTTGACGCATTGTTGAATTACAGTTTTGGTATGTTTCACAGGCTCCATTATTTCTAGAAATACTATTTACGATGCATTGGGCGATACTCCTCATCAAAGTCGTCAAAGGCTCCAAAACTCCCCTCATCCAAATCATTACTCGATCATCACAGATGCTTTACCTCAACCCTTAGGCCCCAATCTTCAACACAGCGCAGACCACCGAAGAGTGAAAGCCGAGATGGCGGCAGCGCGTAAGGGTGGCCGCACGGACCGCGCCCGGCACCTTGCCAGCAAGCGGACAAAGGTCGCGGCCTGGGCACTCCAGCGCCCCCCAACCTCGAGGACTGTGAGCCTGCAGCGGTTGGACGTGCACAATTCGGGGTATGTCCGCTCTTTCGCTCGTCTGGCAGTGAGCAAGGCAGCTCCGGCGGTACGGCCACCAGCCTTGCGCGGGAGACCGGCCACAGTAATGGGGGAGACGCGCGTGGTCGACTGCAAGCTGGGCGCCACCCTAAAGCGGTAGGCCATGGGCGATGACCTCAATGCTATCACAAATGCGTCGGTCGTCTTGGCGAGCTGGGTCGACATTCAAGTCCCTGACAAGCACATTGAAAGCGACCGCTGCCCCAGCTTCTCTGGGCACACGTGCAGCAGAAGGCTCGAGCGGGCCGCCCCTCGATCGCAGAATGCCGGAACGCGGGAAAGCGGCGAGGTGGTTACCACAAGGATCGAGGTGTGCGCGGCAACGGCATCTGGCACAAGTCAGGGGCAAGCGAAGTCTGACGGGTGGGTGGGTGGCGTCCAGGGCGAATTGGGACCGGTGCCAGAAGGGAAGGCCGTTGGCGACGACCTCAATGCGCCGCTCATCCGAGACAGGCACATCGTCGGCAAGCCGCACATGGCCGGCGACGCGAGCGTCGGCTTCGCGACAGACTCGCGCGACGGCATGCTCAAGGGGCAGTGCGCGCGTTGCGAGGACCCCGGAGGTAACACAGGCCGAGCGGTGGTCGCCAAGCGTGTCAAGCTGACCTTGGCAGCGGCATCGGCGCGGCGCAAGGGGGGAGGGGGAGTCGCAGCCTGCGCAGCAGAAGGACCCGGAACTGCGCACTAGGTGTGGAAATCTCATCACGGGCTGGGAGGACATTCAAGGCACGGGCGGCGAAGGGCACGGCCTGCGACAGCAGCAGCGCAGCGCTCGAGATGCAGGTGTGAGGGTTTCGAAGGTGCGCGTATCGCAGGCGCGGGCGGCAAAGCGCTGCCATCCCTTGAAAGGCCAAGGGTCGGGATGCCTTTCCGTCGGTGTGGGGAGGTGTGGCAGCTGAACCGGCGTAAACGCCTGCCCAGTCGGGAGTCTCGCAGCCGTGGGCAAGCGAATTCTGCGCCAGAGGATGGCTCGGAAGAGCAGCGACCCCAATGAGAACTCCGGCAAGGTGGGATGGTGGTGAAAACGCGCACGACATGAGGCCCAGCCTGCGAGTCCAGCAGGGCGGCCGAGGCAACGTTGGTCTCCCGAAGGAATAGCAAGAGCCGTCAACGGCTTGGGACGCCGGGCGCTGCCAACCGCGAATAAGGTTAAGGGACGGGTTTAAGATGCAGCAACTCCGCCCATGCAGGGGGCTCGAAGCCGATTAGAGAGTCACGGGCGTCTCGCGCTGATGGCAGGGCGAACGGAGTGGCCGGTCAGAGGCGACAAAGCCGGCGCCTTCATGTGCGAAGTTGGGGTCGCGCTGGGCTATCGCGCGCGATGCGTCAGCCCATGAAGCCCAGTAGGCAGCTGGCGCATGCTGTGTCGCATTGCGCACGCCGAAGCCGCCGTGCCGCAATGCTGGGGGCACGCGAAGCTTGGTGGTTGGTGATTTTCAGCGACGGCTCGTTGCCAGGACCATTGCACAACACTTTTTCGTTAACACACCTTTTTGCGATTGGAGTTCCGCGGTCCCTGTGCAAGAAGCATGCAAGAGGTGGGGTTTCGTCGAAGCGAGTCGAGGAAAGAAGCACCTCGCTGAGCAGGGGCGGCGGTGGAGCAGTGATAAAGAGCACGCCATGTGGACTTCAACCCTGCGCAATAAAAGCAGAGGCTGCAAACGTCATGACCAACAGTGACTAACGCACATTGCAAACACATCTCGGGAATGGCCGGTCATGCGAAATGCCAGTATTGGCGACCATGAAAGCCCGAACAACATGGAGGTGCAGCAGGGTCAAGCCGAGGCGTCAATGCCACCGCCGCAGATCCGGCGAACTGTCTTCCAAATTCTGGGCGATAATCCGCAAGCGACAGCTTGCGAACACAACTCGCACGTCGCATGTTGCGTTTTGAGCTTCGAAATCTTCACCTTGTGTTGGAGAGATTCAAGGCTGCCGCGCTCAAAGCACAGGCTGTAAACCCTCTGTCGCTGATCTCGGTGACCAAAAGACGGGTGCGGGATCGTGCGGCCGTGCGGGTGCGGATGGGTGCGGACGCAGTCCATCGAAAGACCCGGCCATGGACGCGGGCCACGGGGCCACGGGCCACTCTTCTCTCATCTCCAAAGACGCGCGGCGGTTGGATCTCCGTTTTCTCTCTATCTAAGCTTCAATTCGGAAGCCCGCGCTCTTCACGCAGATCCATGCTCAGCACTATTCGGGGGCGCTGCTTAAAGCAGATCCCGAGTAGGGCCTAAAGGCTTTTGGGCCATCGAAGGGACATGCGGCAAACCTGCAGGTTCCATTGACTCGCAGGTGCGCTGCCCTTCTACATCAGATGCACAGCCTTGGGCTGCAGTTCAAGAGCATCTTTTTTCTCTATATGAATTCAGCATATCATATATCTATATGGGAAAATCGCATTCACACAGCAATCCGCTCATGACACGTTCACTCTTCACTCATCCTCGAAATCTTCTTGGTACTCCCCCTCGGCGCCCTGCGCCCAAGGTGCAGAGAGCCAGAGAGAGCCGTGGCCGAACCGAAGGCCTCGAGGTCGATGTCCGTGGGACTGGCACCTCCAAAAAACTGGCAGAGACTCCAACCGGGCCCATCCCCAACAACCGGCCCGGCCCCCCCCCCAACCCCAACAACCAACCGGCAGCTTTGCTCTTCGCTCTTTTGCTCTTTGCTCTCTTAGCTCTTTGGCCCTCGCCTCGCTCCGCCGTTCCCGCCTTTCCCGCCTTTCCCGCCGACGCCGACGGCCTCGGTCCAAAGCTCCAAAGCTCCGCCGCCGGCTCCCTCCCCCGATCCTCCTCTTAGAATGTGCTCTGTGCTCTTCGCGCTGAGCCGCTGAGCTCCGGGCGCTTCCAGCGAACCCGTCTTCGCCTCGGCTCGCGGAGAGGAGCAGAAGCCGTGCTGAGCCATATTCGCTGCACCTCTTTGTCGAGGCGGAAGCTCACCGGCCTCGGAGGCCAGAGAGAACGCAGCTCCTGGAGGCCCCAGCGTTTTTGCGCCGAGGCCGCGGCAAGCCCGCCTCTGCCCGTTGCACGGCCTGATGCGGCCGCCGGCCCAGCCAGATCCAGCGACACCGTGATTCAGACTTTCACTTCCACGCTCAACACAATTCACTTTTTCATTAATATAAAAAATAGAACTTTTTGCATTTATACCATCAATCATAAAAAAAAAGTAAGAAAAATAAGCTTATCTAACATTGTAAATCTATTGCTGCATTTTACTTTTTTGAGCGTTTGTTGTGCGTTTTTTGTGTGCGCAGCCTACGTACTCTCCGTGCTCTCCGAACCAACTATCACATCAAGCAAGTCGGTGAGGTCCAAACCGCACCGGCCGAGAGGCTAGAGCAAAAACACGCTCTCATTCTGCAACTGTGGAGGTGCGCCACATCAAGATAGCCGCCCAAATTCACCCAGAGATATCATGAGGTTTGGGTCTCAAGTCAACGGTGGCTTCCAGTCTTCCAGTGGCAGGACCAGTTTCAAAATCCGAAAGGGACGTCGACCTTGTCCTTTTTGCTTGGCCACACGAAGGGCAAGATCGCTGCAGCTCGTGGACAGGGGCTAAGGAGGAGGATGACCTCGAGGCTCACCCTGACTTCAGTCGGCAGGGCACAGCGAGTGCAGTCATCTTCGCTCCTGGCCTTCTTCTCAGGGCGAGAAGATCTGCTAGAGGATCCGCTCTCCGCTCGTTTCGCTTTGCCACGCCTTCTCGAGCTCGGCGTTGCGCCGCTTGGAGTCTCCCAACTCTTGCCTTCGACATCAGAACTTCTGCTTCGCTGCCTTCAGAGCTTCGAGCGCTTCTCTGAGGCGCGAGCCGCAGCTTGAGATCTGAGGAGGACAGGAACGACCGCCCCGAACGACCGCCGAAAAGCGCCGAAAAGCCGAGTGCCGAGCCGTCGTCGAGCAACTTCTTGTTCTGCTCATGCAGGCTCTCGATGGTCCGATCGCATTCGTCCACCTCCATCTGGTAAATCCCCCAACCCATCCATTGTCCATGTTCTCTCTCTCTTTGAGATCGAAACCTTCTCTGCGTATTCGTCCTCACAAATTATCTCATGCCAAATGCCCTGAGCCTGATAGCCTGGTTCCGGCTCCCCCCCTTAGGCCCATCCCCTCCCCCCCGAACCGCAAACCCGCGTGCGCCGCGTGCGACTGACGGAAGGCTTCGCACTGCGACTCGTAGAGAATCGCTACGGCGCGCCGCTTTGCACGGTCACGTAGCGTCCTTGAGCTCGTTGAGCTGGTCCGTCAGGTAGCAGTAGCCTCCGGTCCGGCGAATCCAGCGCAGCATTCGGCATGCGCCGCAAGCTGGCCGCCCGGGCCTTCGTTGGTGTTCAAAAGCTCCTCCTCCTGTCCAGAATGTTCCCGTCCTATGCCGACTGTCGGTTCAGGGTGAAGTCCTTGGCAGCCAGCGTGTCGAAGAGCATCTCTTCCTTTGCTCTGGCCTCGAGGAAAAGGCGCTTGCAACGTGGTCTCAGACCTCTCCTGACCGACTCTCTCTCTCTCTCTCTCTCTCTCTCTCTCTCTCTCATCTCTCTCTAATCTCTTATAGCGACTTAAACTCCCACTCAAGGTGTGAGGCATGGCGGTGCATGGCGGTGCATGGCGCAAAGGGCCCCCAGCTCCGGGCCAAGTCGCGCTCCTCCGTGACCACCCCGATCTGCTGCTGCAGGTCCTCTGCAGGGCCGTCGCAGAGCGCAGAGCGGCTGCGCTGCTGAGAGCTGCTGCGCGGAGCTGCCTTGCCTCGTTGCTGCTCTTCATCTCCTCGGCCTTGGCCTCCAGGTCTCGGACCTCCGCCCGTTTTTCGCGACGAAAGCGCGCAGGGCCCTGCACCCCTACTTCCCTCTTCTCCTCCTCGCCTTGTCTCTTTCCCTTGAAGTCTCCTCCAAGGTCTGAGCCAACTTCTCCTGCCCGGTGAGGAACGGCACCCCCCCAAAACTGCTCTTCAGCGCCTTGTCCTCGCCTCGAGAGATTGCACTTGGGAGTTGGCGCTGTCCTGTTCCTCGGCACATCTCGGCTCGGCCGAAGAAGAAGTCCCAAAAGAGAGCCCAGCGAGAGCCTAGGCCCCTGGCCACGCCCAGGCGAAGCTGCTCCGCTTCGGCGTCAGCCAGCTTCTGCTCGCTCTCAGCAGCCTCCGCGGTCCGCGCCCGCTGCACCCAAAAGAGAGCGGAGAGCGTGACCGAGGAGAGCGTAGAAGCTCAAGGCTAAGGGGAGAAAAAGAAGAAGAAAGGGGGAGAGCGTAGAGAGGGAGAACGAGAAGGAGACGAGACGACAATGAACGGGGCGTTGCTGTGCTGCCTGATCCTGGAGCAGGTTGTACGCCTTGCGCAACTCCTCCAGCTGTGCCAACGTCTCCTGACGCAACACGTAAGACTGAGACGGCTTGGTGAGGTGTGTGGTCTTGGCTGTGCGGTGGCCAATCCTGGAGTTGCTGCTCCACCTTGGCACAGGAAGAGAAAGAGGAGAATCCGGGTGACGTCGGGGCCGTCGCCTGTGTCCGCTCCTGCATGGCCTGCATGGCCTTCTCCTCCTCCGCACGCTGCACCTCGCGCCAGCGCCTGGAAGAGGGAGAGGCCGGGAGCCACGGAGGCACTGTCACTTCGAGGCGCTGGCTCGGCCGTGGTGGCACTGGCCAGGGCGAGGCAGCGCTGCAGCCTCGCAGTTTCCCCAGCTCTCATCTGCCGTCTCCTTCCCTTCAGCTCCTGGTCCTACGGCTCCTCCTCCCCACCTTCCTCCTCTGAGACTCGTTGAGGTCCCTGCAGCTGGGCCCGGCGGCGGACAACGTCCAGGCGACAAGCGGCCTCTCGCAGGGAGGACCTGAGCGCTGAGCAAGCCCGAAGCCAACGGCCTCACATATTCCTTGCTTCTTCCCTCCTAAGAGTCTGAGAATCCGAGCGGGATGGGTGTCTCCACCTTGATCTTCCCATCGGCCCAGCCGAACACCTGCGTTCAAGTCTCTCTTTCTCTCGAGCCGACATTCGCCAGGAGAAGTCAGCTGGTTGCTTCGGATCTCTGTTTTGCTCTCTTCAGTGATACCCCGCGCCGGTGGTCTTCCTTCTCCGTTTAGCAGATAATCCTGCCAACATGCCTGGGCATCACCAAATTCGAGTTGCGGTGCTGTTTTCTTCTTAGCTTGTTGCACAAGCACCAAGTAGCAGTGGTGCAGCGATGCAGCGAAGCCACAGCGGTTGCGGCGCAGTCTTGCGGCTCTGCCGTTCTCCTTTCGTGTCCGATGGCAGGTCGATTTCTTCAGCGTGCTCTCGCATCCCTGATGCAGGCGATCTTGCTGGTAATCTCCGCACCGATGGCCCTCAGGTACTTTGCTGCCTGCCCCCCAGCAAGGAAACAAGTGGCCTCAGCCCATGTTGAGCGTTGCGGTCGCTTGATGTTCCGTGAGCTTTCCAGAATGTGGTGGGCACTAGGGCTCTTGTGGTGTTCAGCGAATCGACTCTGCACAAAGCACGACTGGTGAAGAGCCGCTCATGTCACCTCTGGCCTAGCATTCAATGCGGCGCCGGATGCTCATCATAGGTGCTGGGTGGCTGAAGCGAACGTGGAGGTCTCGAAGAACCTCTCGCACATCTGGGAATCGGGCTTCAAAAGCAAAAGGCAGCCTCCATCCACCGCTGCTCCTCCATCCGGTCCCATGCACAGTTTTGCCGAAGCGACGGACACCGAACAGACCAAGAATTCTGCGATGCCACGATCGCCTTGGAGGGTCACTACGGGAAAGCACCGAAATCTGGATCTCGCTGATGTCTAGTAGACGTGCCATCAGTTCCGGCAACCGAAACGGCCGGTGCCGCCAAGGGGGTTTAGTGGTCCCGCAGCTCGGATGCTCGCACAAGTTTGAACCAAAGGGAGGCATGAGTCAAAACTTACAGCCCTTCTGTCTTCCAGGCACATCACACGGGCTGAAAGATTTCTGCTGTATACATGTCTGCAAACAGCTGTTGGTATTCGTGCGCAATGTCGCAAGCCGACTTCGGACTCGGAGGTGTGATGTCTGCCGGCACCTCCAGGCGAAAGGACGGATGGCTGTGCCTGGCAGAAGGTTGGATGAGGTTGGACAGGGGCTGGAGCGAGCCACATGGCGAGGAGAAGCACCGCCGGGCCCGCCACTCTTCAGGAAAAATCCTCAAGTATCGCACGGCCCGCGGCGGCTGCGCAATGCCCAGTGGCAAGAAGCCTCGCAAACAGATGCACATTCTTATGTGGCACTGGGGAAAACCACGAGCGGTAAACCACCTCATGCAGTCGTCAAAAGAGTCTGGCTTTGCTGTAAGTGGGTGGGTGGGCGGGCGGGCGGGCGGGTGGGTGGGTGGGTGGGTGGAGATGCCCACTCTGAACCACGGGCATTACACACAAACGTTGTGGTTCTCCCTGGGCAGCATTGCTCCCATAGAGGCGGGGCAAACCACGCTGCAGTGGACGCAAAGACAAACACCGGCGGCTTAGCAGTGGAATTGCGAGGTGTGCATCGTCCAAGGCCCCAGCGGACGGTCTCTGCATCGCTGCAACCCTCAAAGACGAAGGCTTTGTTTTCCTCGAAGTCTTTAGCTAGCGCACACGCACATGTCCGGCAAACACACACACACACACACACACACACACACACACGTACGTACAGTGAAGGGACACTGTTCCAGGAATCCACACAAACTACCCCAACGTAGCGTGCAGAGCTCACTCAACTTATGAAGCCAACGTACCTCAGAACGTTCACAGAGCAGTGCCTTTTTCTAGGCAGCACAGAAAGTGCGTGGGGTCTTGAGCCACGAATTTGAAAACGTCGGGATAATGAGAAGTATGTGTTATTTTCGCATGCCTTAGTGAAGGCAAAATAGCCTCACTTTACTCTCATACCAAACGATACGAAGAAAAAAAGCTCGAGGAAAGTTGGTTTCATGGTGGCTTGTGGTGCAAAGTCGCGTTGTGCGACACTCCGAAGAAAGTTGCGATCTGCCTCCTATCCACGGCACCCAAAAATAGCTCAAAAGTAGCAGGTGCTCGTAGTGACCGAAAGGTGTCGTATCCATTAGCACGTTAAGGTGCAGCAATGTGCGGCAACGGCGCATTGCAAAGAAGATCGGAAGCCCAATGCCACTGCAGTGGCACCAACCGCAGCCTGTCAGAAGTTGCACTTCAATGTCGGGCAAGGAGCTCCAGTGTATTGCGCAGCAAACCAGAAAGTGGCATCACATGCCGTCATGTTAAAGTACTGCAGCTGCTGGTGGAGCTCCCGAAGTAGCGGCCTGTGCATGTGCCGCAAATGCTGGAAGTTGGGAAGCTGAAAGCACCCGTTGAGGGATCAGACCCCGAAGTATGGCGACACAGGGTGTGTAAGTGCCATAAAAGTGATCTCATGTGGCTGCGGAAGGATAGACAGAAATGCCGAATACGTGTATATTCCCCTCGCCATGTTCTGGGCCAGCTATTGTTTAGGCCGAAAGCTGAACGTCACAAAGCGTTCCCCATCAGCAGAAGGGAAAGTCGGCCCCTGCATTTGTGTTATCGAAAGCTGGAAAGCAGCCAAACGCAAATCGATCCGTGGCGAAAGTGACATATTGCGGTACCTATCCACACCACCACGTACCTGCCAAAAGTGAAGCTGAAAGTGACCAGTATGAGCTGCAAAGCTCATCGCCATGCAGCAGTCAATAGTTGACCGTGGTATGCTCAGCCAGAGGCACAACAGGCAGTGGCATGTATTGCACAGCCGGCGGACTCGTGCCACGGTAAAGTTGCTGCATAGCGAGACCATAGTTCACCAGCACGTCGTCCTAGGGGGTTTGTTGTTGGTCTGTCTGTGCCGTCGTGTTCAGCGGTGCAGCTGGTTGCATGTTGTACTGCTGTTCTGCTCCGGGTCCTAACTGGTACGTGCCACCTGCAAAAAAAAGCTGCGGTGAGACTGACATGCTTCAAGCAAAACCACTGAGTGGGCGCTGAGTCCTGATCACCGAAGCTCCTTGTGGCACTTGCTACGACGGGCATTGTCTCAGATGCTGCCAAGCACGTCTGTCTGTAGTTTGCTCGTACGAGCATCCTGGCTGCAGCCTTCCTGCACTTGTCGCGCTGCTGAACGGGAGGTGTAGCTCATGCTTCTCGTAGTCTCACTCGGGGACCTCATTTGATCCCGTTTTTAGATTTCAGGACGCTTCACGCTCATTTACCATATCATATCGGATCAGCATCTTGGCAGTTGCAGGTCGTATGCTTCGGAACATCTGCATGTCTTGTGCCCTTGCCGTCGAGAAAGCTCTCTGTTCATGAGTGCACTCGCACGAGATTATTCCACTGCCGCGTTTTGGCTCAAATCTCTTGAGAGGAGCTCTTCGGAAGGGTTCTTGTGGAGATCTGATGAAACCCATAAGCCATGCCGTTTGCTTTCGCATCTATCGTTCAGGCAGCAGAGACCTCATTTCTTTAAACCACTAATGACCGCTATTCCACGATATCACTTGCTGTTGTGCTAGTCTTCTTGGGCTGGTAAGTGTCCTCGATCATAGCCCTCGGACTCGCCCTCGACATTTCTCCAGTAGCCAATCTGCCTCTTGCCTCCATCTCGTTTCCAGATGTCCCTGTCACGTCCAGGAAGTGAGCTCGAAGAGCGTTGGCCACTGTCGCCTTCCACTGTCGTGAGGACCAATCCTGTCTCGGCGGCGTCCAAGCCCGCGTCCTGCAAGAGCTAACCAACCTTGCACAAAATCAGGTAGAGGATCTGGCAAGGATGAGGTAGTCGAGCTGGAGGTATGTAGTAGAGCTCGCCCAGGACCCTTGGCTCGCCCGACCATGCAGAGCCGCATAGCTCCACCAGCTGTCCGCTTGCCATGCCCACAAATTCATCGTCGTCGTCGTCGTCTCGGTCTCTTCTGCCTCCTCTCGAGGTTCGCCCTCCTTCGTCACGGTTTCCATGGAGGTGCGTCGGCTCCAGTTGGAGGTTCTTGTAAACTTCATTCCCGCCTGTGGCATTCTTGCCATGGCCTGCCGGGCCCAAATATCCACCTCATTCCGCCTGGAGACGTGCTCGCGGATGCTCTCCCCGGCCTTGCGCTTGCTGTACTTGAAGAACCGCGTCAAATTTTCTGTGACCTCTGACACCGGAGGCTTTCCCAAGCCTTGGCGTGGGTGTGTCAAGAGAGTACCCCCATAGTCCGACTTAAGTTCGCTTATGCGGCGCCGTGCCCTGCTTATAGAGTCTAACGGCTTCTGCTATCGAGGCACGACCCGGGGTAGATGCAGTAAAAGCCCGCTTCGCTTACGCCATTGCTGGAACACTGCCCATACCTCCGGAGACCTCGCTCCTCGGCTAGAGCACTCACGACCGTTACCACTTGCATGGTAGCGTTGGAGCCTGACAGCCTGACTTCCAAAACATCTTGGAGGTCAAAGTGATTAGATCCGGGAAAAGCAGCCTTGGTTTCGTCATCCCGACGAGGATGGCGGACCAGGGACGGAGTGCCGATCTGGGACGGGGTCCACTTAGCTGCGGGACACATCAGCGTCTGCAGCTCACAAGCGTACAACCGGAATCATCGTCATCACGTTGTCTCCAACCCTACGGGGAACAGGACCTAAACCCAAACTTAAGGTCTTGGGCGAGGTGGTTCCACTGGTATCTGCTGACTGAAACTCGTGCTCAGTCTGCGAAAGCTGCACAAAATGCAAAACCGGCTCACTCGACCGTTCAGGCCGTCGACCCTTGTCAGATGACGGACTGCGCAACTCATCCAAAGCTCCATAACCATACTCTGCTGCAGTTGAGGGCTCATTGTCAAAGGATGGCGTCGTGGTCATAACTCGCGGTTGCGTCGTGACCCCTGCTGCTTTCGTAACAAACGTTCGCGCGTTCGGGCCGGTGTTCTCGGTATCGCTCAGCCAATAAACGACCAGTCCGGCATGCAGTACTGTCAGCAACATAGGGCCAACAATCCAGCGGATGAAGCACCCACAACACGACCTGACGCCGAGCCAATGGCAACTGGAACGTGCCCAATGCTCCGCTACCAAGTCGAATTGTGCTTGCCTCCTCGTGTCTGCTGAAAGGCTCAATGATCCATCCATTGCCGCTCGTCCCTTTCTTGTGATCAAGTGCTCAGAAGGGCCGGGACTCTGCACACGCAAGTAAGGCTTCCCCTGGTAGGACAAGCACTGAATTAGCCGAGTATGGCCTGCAGGCTTGATGAATTCAGACGGCCACGCACAAACACTTCGTAGATCAAGACCTGGGCGGTTGCATAAGCAAGGGCGAGTTTTTTAGGGTAAGTACCTTTAGACATAAAATGCAGCATAAATGTGTTTGATTATTATATAGGAAGCAACAGCGAGGAGAGGCATGCACAGCGAGGATTCTAGATTGGATGCGTCTTTACAAACAGTATCACTTGCAGGTACGTCACTGAGCGTCTCACCGCACACAAACCAGCTTTGTTAGCCGAGGAGTCTGTATGGGTGGCCCCCTGCCTTTGGAAAAATGTTGTAATCAGGCACAGCTGATGAAGAGTGACTTCCCTTGGCCCATGAGCGAGGACAGCACACACACACACACCCTCACACACACACACACACACACACAACATGGCTAGAATCTAGAACCTCCACTTGCCACAGGCGCTGGGCCACGCGATGCTCCACGCGACTCGGGAGCAGGCATTGGGTGTTGTCAGTGGCGCCCATTCTTGACCCTTCTCGCTCCAGGATACCGTGAACTTTGTTGCCTGCACCACGCCCACATCACTGCTGTACCAACCGAAAAACCAAAGAAGCCACTGCAAAAGACAGGTCGGCATCGCCCACTGGTCAGAAACATCCAGCAACCCTCCGTAAGAGGATCCCTCCAGCTTCTTCCTGCAAGGTTTACGCGCGAACCTGCCAACCCATTACGAATGAGAGTCACCTCAGGCCGAGGTAGCAGAGCAGCTGTAAGAGCCGATTGCTCTCCTCACGAGAATAGCACAGCTGTCTCTGGTGACTCTAGTCTCTAGTCTTTGGACCCGATCGTCCGAGTGGCGACTGTGTTCTTGCCGCCCAGGATGTCCGAAGGGCTCACTTTCAATGGAGGAACCTGATCTCAGAGGCAGCTGCGAAAGGCCGGGACATGCCAAAGCCGGCCTTGTCTTGCAGTCCCGCAGCCTTCACGGCATGCCCCTGAGTGGCCCATCATTTACGTGAATCTGTTTCCGCTCCGGTTTGCTTTCCGAGTTCTCCGACCGCCTTTGCTAGCAGCAGTTCGAAAAAGTCGACCTCTTAGCCAAGAAAATGTGGAACAACCGCGCTGTCGCTGCCCTCGTCGCCTTCGCTTGACGGTCGGCATTCTGAAGCTGCTTGTAGTCCAGCTGCTCGGGGTTAAAGTCCGGCCTCGACTTGCGAGACTTTGACTTTGCGTGATACGGGAGAACCGCGAAACCGCGAGCGTCTGGGAGGTCTCGCTTCCCAGCCGCCAGCGCCTTGCCGGTTTGAAGCGAAGAGAAGCAGCAAAAGCCAGGGCCCACCGGGCCTGGTGCCGGACATGGGCCGCCTGAGACAGCCAAAGCCTCTGAGCCTCTTAGCCGCCTTAGCCCAAGCCAGACCCCCAGACGCCCCAGCAGTTTAGGGCCGGACCACGACGATGTCGTGGATCAGGCGCACGGGCGGGCGCTTGAAGATCCTGACAGCCGAGCAGGCAGCGCCGCGGCGCCGCACCACGAGCCTTCTCTCACATCTCGGAAGCTGACCGGCTGGGAGGCAGCGGATCGCCGGGATCCAGGAGCTGAGCAGAGAGAGGGGGTGCTGAAGCCATGTGCCATGCGCCGTGCGATCTGCTCCGCGGAGCTGCCTCTGCCAGCAGGGGCCTGGTGGCCTCCCAGTCGCCACTCAGCGGCCTCGCCGAGGAAACGCTCTGGAGAAAGTTTCGCGGCGATTGCGCGGACTCCGCGGTCTCCGCCTTCGGCCTTGCAGGGCCAAGCTGCTGACCTCACGGCCCCACGCCCCGGACAGGACCCGGCGAAAGGACCCTTCACGAAGACAAAACACAGCTTTTCAGGAGCGTTCCCAGGTCGGCTTGCCCAGATCCACCTACCCGTCTCAAGCACTCCGACCAGGAACGCTCAGAGATTTTCTCGGAGCCTGCAGGTACTCCGAGGTGGCATCTTCCACCGGACTCCAGCCTCACCAAACAGGGGCAGGGAGGCAGGCTCAGGTGAGTTGGAGTCAAGCAAACGTGAGCGCTGTTCTGGGTGCGCCAGCCATTGAAAGCGCACTTCATGCGGTTCACCCCACTGAAGAGTCGGACAGACGTGCAGGCCTGCCAAGAACGACGCAGCCCGCTGACGCGCACTTCGGGGCGAAGGAGTTAAGTTCAACGTCCGGGCAGCCTGTTGGTTGGAGCTGGCGGAAATGCTGGAGTCCGACAACTCCTGGCTGCGCGGCACACCACGCGATTTTTAGGCCCCCGCTGGCCTACACGTGCCTCCGCGGCGAGGCCCAGAGGCACAGACAGTGCAGCCGAAACCTGGCGCTTTCGGAGCTGCGCGAAGTCAACTTAAGCACTTGCCTTTCGATTGCTGTCCATGGCATGACACATGACAGATCCCAGCAGATAAAGTTTATACTCATACATTCCACTAGCTCGACATGCCTGCAACAACCTGGTCTGTCCCGCAGGACGAAGGTCCAGAGAAAGGCAATGTATGGCACATGCAATGAGTTTCTGCAAGTTTTGCCCTGGCTGGTCTGCCACTTATTTGGGGCAGGCAAAGAAGAGCACAAGCACCGCGAGCGTTGCGAGTATGAACAACAAGCGAACGTGCTCAAGCTCTTCTTTTTTCCAACACGTCACTTGGGCACACGGGGCCAGCGAGCACGTATCCCAGGACAATGCAATGGTTTCATTTGCAATCCAAGGCCCAACACCCCCAATCCACCTTCGTGGACTAAGGCCCCCACCACGATAATCGTTTGCACCGGCCCCCCGTCGCAGGGTTAACAAAATCTTGGGCAGCTGACCTCTGGAAATCAGGGAAATACAAATTCATGAAACGAATATGGAATATTTATGAATTTGACGTGGCAGAAATATTCAATTGTTTATGAAAACAGCATGAGCTGGATGAATCGGCTAGCAGGAAATGTGGGAAAAAGACGACAATTTGTTCATTACGAAACAATATGAATGCAGTGGCTAGAAAACGTGGGAAGCTGACCTTTTGTATTCATGTCGTTCAAACGTGTTCATACTTATTTCCTGGTCAGACTCGCAGAACCTAATCATATTTTTCATATTTGGTTCAAAGGTTGAGGCCAGTACAAACAACAACGAAGCACTTGCACAGCTCCACATTTTTCACAAGCGTCACAGGCTTGGTCTCGATCTACTTTCTAACGAGGGTAATAGCATTGGTAAAACGCGGGGAAACTCTCGGGTTTGCAACGGAGACACCAGTCCGATATCCGATGCATCATCAGGGACTGAACTGTCATCCAGACCCAACCGTTCCCAAGGCACTTCTCCCAATGCCGCCGCCCCCAACGGCAAAGCCCAGAGCTCGAATGAAAAATGAGCTGAGAAGGTAGAGGAAGAGTGTGCTTGTTGCCACATATCCTTGGCTCTCTGGCTGCTAATGGCATCGCTCCAATTGGACTTGGAGACAGAGGTGTATGAGTTGAGCGAGCCTCGACGAATTGTCGGAGCGCCCCCGAATCAGGGACATAAACGCGGCAGTATTTTCAATGTATCAAACTCCTCGTCTGCAACGGAATTGCAATGGCCTTGCACCACCAGTGCAAACATCACCATGCTCAGCTACAACTGAGCAATCTTCTTGTCGCCCAGGCACCATGAGGACTACAACCGACTCGGAGTGGAAGCCAGAAAGCCCTCACGGAGCTGTCCACGTTCGCGTTGCCAGACAAGAAAAATCCGGTACCCTGGTCCGGTTCCTCCTCGGCTGCGTCACTCGCAGCCATGAAGATTAGGACGGGGGGGCCAGAGATCCAGTAGCCACTCAGGCCGAAGACTCGTGGCCCAATCCTAAAACATGTCCCGCGCTGTGCCATCGCTTTGGCCTTTCTCGTCCGCGAAGGAGCGCCCAGCAGGCGATTGACAGAGCACACTGCCTTTGGCCGATGCCCAATCGAGTAAGTTGAAGTTATCGAAATAGGAGGAGGCGACTGCGAGCGCAACGCAGCGCGATGCACCTTCGCTGAACCTGCTGTATCTGTTGAAGGAGGTTACCGCCATGCGGGAGCCCAAGCAAGAGATCTACGTAGATTTGGAATGCGGGCGCCTGCCATCCATGCCGTCACGGAGTACGGCGGCCAGATATGGCTGACCACATACTGGCCAGGCACGGCTGCGAAGCGGGAGGGCACCAGGCTCAACCCACTGGACAGACCGCGGCCAGACTAGAGAAGGCCACCGAGTCCAACCCAGCCTACCAGTAAGGACGGGGAGGCCTTGTGTTTGATGTCTGTCCTGCATCTTCTGCTTGCATGCAGGATCTCCATAGCCGAGCTCTCCAGGCTCCTTTACGACCAAAGGCCATACCACAACTTCCAGCACATCATCGACCAGCGATTCACCTGCCGCTTGGTTAATAAATGCTGTTGCGTCAATCTCATGGGTGGATCATGCATTCCTGCTGCAAGCCGATGGCAGCGGAGCCAACACCAGCGGCGAAGCCAGCAGGACCGGGAGAGAACAGAAAAACAAAACACATTGCCGAAACTTTGCAGCAGGTTCTTTCTTCCCAGCATTCAATGCTTCCATCCTCCACCTAGCATTCAATGCTTTCCCGGCCATCATGCATATGCCACAGGACGTGGTCATGGCCGTGGCCAATTGCCTGAACTTCCCACTCTGCGACAACAAGCTCTATTTCGCAGGCCCAGGCTTCCACATCATCTCCTACTAGAGCCACAGGATCCAGTGCGAAGTGTTGCGTGGCCCGCGGGACTACGCTTTCGGCCATTTCGTGATCCATGGCAGCCATGGTGTGGGAAGATCCAGATGACCTGTGAGACCCTGTCACCAACGGCGACATCACCGACTGCTTCCCAAGCCAGCAGCGACGAGTAAAAGTGCAGCCACGCAGGGCACTGCATCCATCAGGTAGCATCAGTGTTCCGCACAGCATTCCGTGCTTGTCACCGCAACTAGAGTTACTATAAATAGCACAGTTGCGCTGGCCCAGCATTCAATGCTTTCGCCATAACCAGCACCATCAGGTTTTCTTTATGTTCCCAGCATTCAATGCTTTTTCACTGCAAAGCTTTCATTTTGCGTGTCTCCAGCATTCAATGCTAGCATGACTTGTGGAATCGGAGAGCCCAAGCACGATGCGACCATCAGCTGCAGCTTTCAGGCTTCCAAGTTGGCTTTCCAACCTGCATCTTCGCAGGGACTTGTGCCACCCATGGCTTTCACGGTCCAGACGTTGCTGGCCGCAGGAGGACAGCCAGCTTCCACAGCCCACAGCCAGTGAAGGACCACCTGTCCCACAACCATGGAAAACCGCCTGCCCCAGGGCCAGATGAACCACGCATCGCGCACAACGATGCAAGCCCAAGGAGGTACCTCACCAGCGAGGGGCTCCAGGCATGCACAAAGTTCCACGCCAAGCACGCGCAATACCAAAACTGCAAGCCCAACAAAACTAAGCGGAGGCCTCCAGCACCCTGCAGGCCACCAGCTGCCGCCAGCCTTGCAGAACTGTGTGACCCAGACCCACCTGCAGATGGTTGAAGAACCCCAGAATATGAGCACGGACCAGCAAAAGCCAAGCACCCCAAAGGACTGGACACTTGGACCGACCAGGGCAAGTCCCAGGCCAAGGCCAAAGCCCGGCCGCACGGACCCAGGAAAGGCCAAAGCCGAGCCCAAGGACAAACCCACCAAGGGTTCCCACACGCTGGTTTTGGGCTGCTGTAAGTGCCAATCAAGAAACCCAGCTTTCCGCGGTCGTAGGTTCGGCAGTCCAGCGGCGGATGCCAAGGAATCCGAACTTTAGACCGAAGTTGCCACTTGCACATATATAGCATGCTCCGAAAGAAGATTCCTCGGCTTTCCCACGGGTTCCAAAGGGAGCAGAAAATCACTGCATGTCCTTAGGCTGCAGCGCAGAGGTTGCTGCCCAGGCAGCTGCAACAGCATGTCATGCTTAAAGTTGCCAGCACACCGTGCTTCACCGATTCGATGCCCAGTGCCCTCCAGCATGCTATATGCTTTGCTATACCCTGCAGCACGCAGTGCTTCACTGCATCATACACATGAACATGTTTCTGCATGCTTGTCGCAGCTGCATCAGGGGCACAGTGGTGCATGCATGTTTCGACTTCGAAGCATTTTGCGACAGTGTGGCTACAATAAGTTCATTCACGAAGAAGACACGTATGGTGACTTGCTGCTCCATCAGCCCATGCAAACCATCACAGGCGCCGAGCAGAACAATTGGCTCGCGAACTGCATGAGCCTGCTTGCTGGACTCTATAAGCAGGGAGGCAACTGGGCCGACGTGCTCCAGAGAGTCCACAACCAGAAGCCCACTTCTTACCAGTCCCCATGGCGGCTGCTAGTTTATTCCAATGAAGTGTGCCAGGGAACCACTTAGGCCACAGACTGGAAAGGAAAACATATATGGCATATATGGCAGTTTCCAGGAATTGCACACCAAGCTCCAGCACGAGCTTTCCAAGATTGCGGGCCCTAGACTGGGCTTGTGTCTGCCACACGCCACGGACTCCACTGCACTTCACCATGGGCAGGTGGATCCAAGATGGCCTGGCCATGAAGCATGTTCTCCACAAAGGGGGACTCTGGCTCCAAATTTTGCATCTTATGCAGCAACATAAGGAGCATGACCATCCACACCGAAGCCACACTGGAAGAAGAAGACATTCCAGGTTCCAATGTCACCCACTTGAGCGAGTGTGAGTTGGCCACCGACCAGGAAGTTTTGGCAGTCTTCCAGACCTGCCACACAAGGACAATGCCCAAGGACCAGTTCGCCATGTACCAACAAGCAGCTGGCACCACCCACAACCAACACTCCATGCTGCTGGACCAGGTTCCAGCCAATGCCCTAAACCCTAAACTCTAAACCCTAACCCTAAACCCTCTAAACTCTAAACCACGCAGGCATGTTGGACCAGAACATTTTGCGCCCAGTTTCTTGCTACATCCATGAGTGAATGCACACCATGGCATCCCAAGGTGTCGTGCAGAAGTCCATTTGGTTGCTGCTCTCCACAACCAATGTTTGGGACCAGATGGAAAGCTTTCTGCAGCTCTGGACCATGCCAGCCGGTTTGGCCAAGGCTGGCAAGCTCCGTGACCTCTTTACTCCCAAAAGAACCAAGTTCTACAGGGAGAACCAGAGGTTCACATGGTCCAGCATCTTTTGCTGCCAGCATGCAGGGGTCCAGGCGGACCAGTGCCACCAACATTGGCAAAGTGTCTCCAGCCCAGTTGCTGCATCCCAGCTGCAATAAGAAGTTTTTTCTGTAGGCATCACG